TGGTATATCATTCAATATTAAAAAAAAAACACCAACCAAAAATATAAAGTTTTCTTTCCGGTCAATGCGCATTGGGTTCACTAACATCAATGGCATTTCAGTTATTCATTTATCATACGTGATTTTTACGTTGTTAAGTGAAAGAAGGATAAAACAAAATATATGCGCTTTCGCACTTCATTAAATAGTTATTTATTGTTTGCACAGTGATTTTATAGATATTAAAAATATGACAAAATTTGAAGATTATGCACTGCATGGACCAAATTTATTTATGATTTTGCAGATTTATTATTTTTGGTAGCAACAGATTTTATTCTTATGAAATTAAGAAACAGCCACTTAGTAGATTAAAAAGCATATATTTTTCATTTAAATTTTGGTTTTCTGTTAAATAATTTATTTCAACTTTAAATGAGTTTTAAAAGCTCATATATTTTAAAAAAAAATATATATATATATTGTGTATACTCTGTTTTAACCTAACGGCTTAATAACCTTATTTTCTTAGTTTTTAACTTTTACCATATTTTCGGATGCAGTTAATGCAGCATTTATTTACAACAACACCATCAAGAAATTTCCGATATAAATCTTGCATACACGTAAATTGTATTTGTAAACTTGTGTATTGTGCTCTACAGTTATTTCATTTAAGCACGCCAAAATCTGCACATACGTACATACATATGTGCATACAACAATTAACTAAATGATTTATGACACGAAAAATGCTATGTTGATTTCCTGCTGCGACCGTTGAATTATTGATTTTGTAGAGCAGATATTTTAAAAAGCTCGTTACAAGCGAATAAGATTACATATAAACAAATATATAGATGTTGCATATTTCTGTGAAAAATATATATTTATATACATACATTACATGCATATAAAGAATGGAGCATTAAAAATGTAAAAGAAAAATTTCACGTCAACACATCTCCATGTACACTATTACTACATGTATAAACATATATATTTGTATGTAAGTACTAATATATTGATTTAATATGTCTATGGCTTTATTGAACACCATCAGCAAGAAATATATTAATAGTATTTCGTATTGCTGTGCGAATATTTAACACTTAAAATATTTACTTTTCTTCAGGTGAATTAAATTATTTCCTTTCAATTAAACCTTTCAAAGTGTACTCAATATTGTTAAATAAATTATTTGTTTCTCAATAATGAGAATATTCTTCTTCTTCTTTTTTGTATTGTAAACAACGTTTATGGAATTATAGCCAAATCAATAATTTCCCACCAATAATTCCTTCTCTCCGCTGTTTGGCGTCAGTTGGAAATACCAGGTGGAACCAGATCGCTCTCCAACTGATCCTTCCAACGAAGTGATGGTCTCCGCTTCCTCTGCTTTCACCAGTGGGTAATGTACCGAATACTTTCGAAGCTGGAGTGGTTTCATCCATTCGAACGACATGACCTAGCCCTCGTAGCCGCTGTCTCTTCATTCGCTGAACTATGTCACTAACAACGCATACTTCGTACAGCCCATAGTTCCTTCGTCTTCGGCATGCGTCGACGCCAAAGCGCAAGTAAATCGTTTACAAAACTTTTCTCTCGAAGACTTCAAGGGCCGACTCATCAAATGTTGATATCGGCCACGCTTCTGCACCAAATAGTACGACGGATACGATTTGCGACTTGGGGAGTTTGGTTTTCCTTCGTCAAGAGAAAACTTTATTTTTTCATTCTACTTTTGCATTCAAGTCGGCCAGCTTCTCAAACTCTTCCTGTTCGCGCATCTCGGCTTATTTCTTGTCTTGTCTGGCAACACGTCTTGCTTCCAACTTCATCTCTCGGTACTTATTCCACTCCGCACGTGTTCCGGTCGATCCAAAGGTTGCAAGTTACGCAGTCCGAGTCTTCCATCTAACTCAACGTGATCTGTCATTTACTTCGCTTCAAGTTATTGTGAAAAAATCACAAAACTAAAATATTTTCCACTGAAGCATATAATTCATATTTATTAAATTTGTTATTTTATTATGGAAAAAAATAAATTAATTAAAGTTCATGAAATACGTGGAAATTGTAAAACAAAGTGGCAACTTGTCGCAAAAAATCCGATAAAAAACGCTCGTGTGAAAGAGCAACGACTTCAGAGGTGTAAGTTGACACTCGAAACAAATTTGTTAAGCTCAATCGTATGTTTATTTGTAAGTGCGCTTAACACGCATAACTGCAAATGGAAAAAGAAAAAAAAAAAATAAAAACACTACAGACAAATTTGGTTGACATTTTCATGTAATAATTCCAATTTACACGTAAAAATAATTAACACAATGGAAGCGCATGGCTTGGCTCGGCAGGTTGTGAAGTCAGCATGATAATTAAAAGCTGGAAAGAATCGCTTGAAAGTTCTGCAGAAAAAATTGCGAGCAAAAAATACGAGGCAATACAATGCCAACCGTGGTGAAAATCGCGCAGACGAGTGAATATGTTTGTATATGTAAACTCAACTCACACATGACAATTGTTCGAGGAATAATGTTTTACGCTTTAGCCTAGCGTGTTGTTGACCTGCATTGCCATATACACGTAGCTTTTTATATATTTACATTTCGGATATGCAAAAAATGCAGTAAAGTCGCATAAATCGAAAAAATATTTATGCATCGGCTGACCAATTAATATGTCCAGCTCTGTGGTATACTCGTACATTTGTATGCATATACTTAATTTAAAGTGACTTCGTCATAAAAATAAATTATGATTTTAATATTATTTATTTAATATTATTTTTTAAAACTAGGTATTCCCTGAGGGCCAGGAGATGTGATTTAGCTACTGAGGCCAAGAGAGTATTGAATTTATGGCAGAATATTGACAACCAAGAGTTGCCGAGCCCGATTATCCAATCGATGATGATGGAACTGATGTTTCTTAGCCCTGATGACCCTGAAGTTCGATTAGCATTTTCCCGAAAAAAAAAACGAAGTGGAGGCAGCCAATAAATTTCCGGCGATCTATCCAAATATGGCGGTGAAGAACAGACAAGATGCATGCATTAGTTTATTTCCATATGCATGCCAAAGGGTGATCTCGCAGCCTACGCCAATTACCGTGGTATAAGTCTCCTCAATATCGCAAATAAGATCCTCTCAAACATTTTGTGTGAACGCCTAAAACCTCCCGTCAACAAATCGATTGGACCTTATCATCGACTAGAGAACAGATGTTCAGCAGGCGCTAAGTAAGTTGAAAAATTCCGTGAAAAGAAGAGCGAAACATATAACATTTTCGTCGATTTGAAAGCCGCCTTCGAAAGCACGAATAGCAGCTGTCTTTAGGCCGCTATGTCTGAGTTTGGTATGCCACAAAACGTATATGGTTACGTAAACTGACTTACAGCAATGCCAAACTATCCGTCAGGAATGGTAAAGACCTCTCTGAGCCATTCCATGCCAAACTACTTCTCATTTAGGCTCAAGTTTAATTCATTGATGGAGAAAATATTACGAGCTGCAGAGGTGAAAATAGAAGGTACAGTATTCTATAAGAGTGTACAGCTGATGTCGTACGTCGTTGATTTTGATATCATAAGACTCAGCAACAGCGCCTCCATATCATATGTATCTGGTGATGGAACGAGTTATACGATGACATTGACATAGCTTAGCAAACGAACTTTTTTTTAACAGGTGTACAACTTTGCTTCCGCCGTTTTTTTCCAAAATTAAAAGCTTTATTGCGAAAAAGTGCTTACAGATATATTATTCAGGGTCCTTCGCTAGCGACAACTTTCTTCCATCTTTCCGGAAATTTTCGGATCCCGGCTCGAAAAAAGGAGTCCTCTTTTGACGCTTTCCATAAACCAATCCATTTTTCCAATTTTTCGATGGATTGAAAGTGTTGATCTGCCAGGCCGTGTGCCATCGAACGGAATAGGCGGAAGTCAGAAGAGGCGACATCTGGGGAATACGGCGGGTGGGGCAAGACTTCCCATTTCAGCGCTTCCAGGTACTTTTTGACCACTTTTGCGACGTGAGGCCGAGCATTGTCGTGCTGGAGGATGACTTTGTCATGTCGCTCTTGATATTGTGGCCGATTTTCTTTTAATGCACGACTAAGGCTCATCAGTTGCGTTCGGTAGCGATCTCCTGTGATGGTTTCACCAGGTTTTAAGAGCTCGTAGTAAATCACACCGAGCTGATCCCACCAAATACAAATCATAACCATGTTTGTCTTCGACATCGAAATCACCATTTTTAAAACGTTGAAACCACTCCCGACACGTTCTTTCACTCAGAACAGCATCACCGTAAGTTTCTGAGAGCATTCGATGCGCTTCAGCTGCATTTTTTTTTTCGAATTGTAACAGAAAAGTAAAATTTCCTGCAAATGGCGAAAATTAGGCACATAAACGGACATTTTCGAGCGTGAATAATACGAAAACAAGAACAACTGTCACTGAAACGGCGATGACAATTCGTTAAGCACTGCCCACACTCACTTTAAAGGCATCTATAAATTTCAACCAGCCTCAGCCGGTACAGCCACCTATTGAAAAACGGCGGAAGCAAAGTTGTACACCTGATAGTTTTACGCGAAGGATAAAAATCATTATCTATCGCCCTTTATTGGAGGAAAAAAAATTAGAAAAATTAAAATTTATTAATTCTCACCTAATAATTGTTTGTAGTCATTGAGCGGAGTGACCTCAAAAGCTGAGTTGAAGAAATCTACATGAGGAGAGCAAATATTTATCCAACTGCTGTGTTATGTTCTCATCAAAGTGTCTGTTCGGTTCGAACAACTTTGTACAAAGTATTTTTCATTTATTTATATTTCAATTTAAAACTAGACTTTTTAAACTATTTTAGTTATTAGAAAAAAGAAATTTAAGTATTTTTTATATGTTTTTAGACTTTCGATATTGCCAATAAGAAATATTTTCTAGAAAACTGTAAGAAAAAATTACGAAAAATATTTTAAACGAATTCGCTTATAAGTAAATATCAACAATTAAATATTTGAGGCAAAAACTCCACCATCACAACACAACTTAAACAGATATACATACATATTAATCGAAAATAATACAAAAACTATAAATATAAGATAAGCCCAAGTGAAAAACACAAATTAGTTTTGCAAAATATCATCGAAGTGTAAAGTGGACAACAAAATTCTAAAGAAATATGAAAGTCTTCACTCTTTTCCTTGTAATTTGTATCTGCTCAACCATCGTTAATATCGCGAATTCCCAAACAACACAGGATAAGCAAGGCAATCTAATCAGTCAGAGAATTCGTTCTATACGTGAGAGTCTTCGAAGCCGAGTCGCTGTAGATTCCAACAAAACAAAACCAGTGGTAGCAGAAAATGAAGACGACGATGATGATGCGTGGAATATAGGCTCATTCTTTGGCGACATCACCACCAAAATGGGCTCTTTTTTTAAAGGCGCCGTCGATAATCTATTTGAGGTTAGATTTATAATATTTTATATTAAAAATAAAAATATTCTATTTTTAAACTTATTATTGCTCTCCTTCAGTGTGTAGATGATGTATTTGGCTGTTTAAATCCAAACGATGAAAAGAAGAAGAAGAAGAAGAAGGAAGAGAAACCTGAACCAAAGCCGCATACTACAGGCGATAGCGAACAAGGTGGCGCTGGCGGTATCAAGCCAACAACTGATCCAGTTACAAAAGCCACACCAGAAGTGGTGACCACAAAACCAACTGCTCCGGCAAGTAGTACTTCCCGTGCTGCCGCCACCGTAAGTGCCGCGTCTACACAGAGCCCAATTTCAACACCTGCACCTGCGCCTGCCACACAGAGTGCAACAAGTGCAAGTACGAGTCAATCCACAGGATCATGAGCCATTTTTTTTATAACAAAAAAAGTTAATAAAGGTTCAACTATCATAAATGTTTACTAATTCTTCTATTTATTAAAAATATGTAAAATTTTGAAACACAAGAAATATAAATTTTATAAGAATACACATAAAAATATTAGTCTGGCTTTACCTTGCTGATAACCTTGAAAAATTCCACAAATGCTGCAGCACAAAATAAAAGCAAGCTACACGGTAACGAGCTTAGCGACATTTTTTAAAAGTGGAAATTTCGTGTTGTTGACACAATTGTTTCGTAAAATTACGCACGTGAAGAGCCACACTTTTCTCATCGAATGATCTCACTCACTGCGTTTGTCATCTACATCGCTATTGAGTGGTTTAGGTTATTGGACTGTGCTTGTAGCTGATTTTGATACGATACGTAGTCTCATTTTGGAGGTAAACCAATTCGGTAGCTTTCGAATGTATTTCTCGTGTAACCAATAAATATCTTGTTTTTGGTTGGTGATAAAATTGAGTGTAAAAATATTTTTAGGGTCTTGGTTTTAGCCAAGAAATTTTGAATATAACTGTACCAAAGCTTATCTTTAAGAAAAATTCGTAAATAATAACAAAATTTTGTATAGACTTAACTGGCTTTTTTAGTATGTATATGTTTGTAAGAAAGTTTTCTTGTTGCTTGCATGTCTCCAACTAAAGATATTATGCAAAATGGTCAATCTACTAAGTCATCAAAACCTGTGCCTACCTATACTACTGGTTATTGCAGCTGTACTGGTGCTGGCAGAGCCTGTGGAGGTATTTGAGAGTATTGTGCCTTGAAATTATTTTTGGTAATAAAGAATTCGCTTTCATATTTCGAAGCTAGGGAACGAACAGAACAAAAACCAACATTTATCAGCAAAAATTTCCATTAAGATCTGCTTGCTTTTAAACTATTGTTCTAAGCACTTTTGTCACACTGATTGTATTATCTCCAAAACAACCGTTCTGAACGCATCAACCGCCTCTTTTTTGTTGTTTGATATCTCAGTTTATTTTTAACGTATGGAATTAAAACGACGTCATTCGGTGATTAGTAAGAAAACTGTACAACGGCTGACTTACCAAATCGATAATTTGAGTGCTTAAAAAGCAGAAGTTTCAGTCGTGCGCTGATTCGGCTATCCTTTCAAAACCGATACGCTCAACTGCTAAATACTTTCGTGATCATACACGCAACTCGATTATTCATTAACTGTGACTGAGCCGAGCCGTGTTTCGAAGCACCGCAATAGTCCTTATTTTATAATTTTAATGCCTATAAATATCACAGTCCCACCAAAGGTGACAGACGATCTTGAAATATCGGTTTAGACAACGCATTAAATGATTCCGGAACAATAACTGGCTTGGAACATTCATCGCGAAATTCATCTTGAAGTGATCTACAACCTCGTTTGATTTCACTATACCATAAATAAACACTAGTCTTTTATGCAGCTTCGTGGCCAGAAATTTAACTAAGTTCATCTATACCTTGTTGCTGGGTTAGTCCCGAAAATCTTCGTGATTTAATTTCAATTTTAGTCAACCTAAATAACACAAAGAGCGCTCGCATTTTGACCCATTTTGAGTGTCTATAACATCAAAGATTGCAAACTGTATGACAAAGTTGTCACACATGTAAAGCCAACCAAAATATAATATAATTAATTGTTATGACATTCTAAATTCTAGAACATCTCACCGAATGGTCCACCAAAAGCTCTTATTCTCATTGAACGACTGAGACCCCCACCACCGCAAGTGAACCATAACTCTAACAATGAAAACATGGATCGTTCTGGTTTGTATGTAATGTGGCAAAAAGTTTTAGTACGCGTCTCTTCAGAATTCCAACAATCGGTGCTGTCAAAAAGTTTTGGTGTAATGAAAGTAGCTAAAGAAATGGAGGAAACGCCGCCATATAGAATGGAAGAAATAAAATGGCGAAACATTGCTGCAGAAGGTAGATATGAAAAGAAGTTCTGCAAAACTTAAAATAGAAATTTTGTTTCTTTAAAGTTCGAACAGATAAACGCATCATTGATTCAGTACTGCTGTTAATGAAAATTCTATTGGCTTTGGATATCGCTATACTGTTGGGCGTGTTTTTGATGTTATTGGGCTGTTTTTTTAAATCGAAAGAGCCAGAAGTAGACGAGGTTGCAGTTAAGGCGTGATGGAGTTAAAAGAACTAACATGAAAATTATCTTTTACATATTCTAAGATAACATAATTACTAACACATATATAAATAAAAAAATATAATGAAAATATGTCAATAATGTAATTGCATAAATCATTTGCTTTTCAGCTTTTTAATTCAATGAATAAATAGTTTCCTCAATGTAAGGTGTGCACCTTTGATAAATTAATCAATTTTCCGCCCAAATGTATGCAACATTTCGCACAACCAAATAATTGTTAAGTAGCCTTTCAAAAGAAATCACGAATATGCATTCCACGGAATTTTATGCAATTTCATTAAATTGTAATTAATATCGCCAAAAATCAGTGACTGTTGTTGTCATTCTAGTATTATACAAAACCTATATTTTCTACAAAAAAAAAAAAAAACTAGCAGCAATCCTTGGTGATTCGTGCTGAATATTAGTGGCAACTAAATATTTTTAGTATGTGTATATATACATGTAAGTAAATAGTTAATATTATTGCCAACACAATTCCATGTAGTAATTATTTTAGTCTAGAGCATCATTTCATGAATTAAGTCCCATTAATGCAGAAATTTAAAAGGCTTACCAATGCGACTGGCTGGTCGTCTGTTTAACCAGGTGATCCGATAACCGATAGTACCAATAAGAAATGGAAAATATTTACATATTTATTACCCTGAATCTTTGAGTTGCTGTTTGCTGCAATTGCTGGACCACAAATAATTTAATTACTTTTTATTAGTTAGTCGTGTAGCAAAATATTGAAATGATTACTGAGCTCAATAATCCATTCTTTGAAAAACCGTACAGGAAAATGGGAACCTCAAAAGACTGTCTAATGGGATTATCCAAGTTCTGACTATCAGTTCGTCTAAAGTTAGCAACCCTTTATAATTGAAAAATATATTGAGTGGAAATCGCGAACATGGTTTGAACATAGCCAGGCAGCTAAGCTTTCTATACCGCGGTAATTAGTTCGCATTAAGGTCCGATGTTTTTATTATTACCTTAATGTGCTTCAAAAACTCGAACGCTCAAATCCAAAATACGTGTTAAAGCTGATCATAAGTCAAAACTAATTTAACTCTTCTCACTAATTAACCCAGTATTTTGCGTTCGAAGTCATCACCAGATGGTCAGACGGTCATACGGTATACAGAGAATACTAGTTAGGCTTTATTGGGAGCTTTAGAGAGCACATTCGCCAAAATGACATAATGCATTCGGATTGTGAATGAATTTCTGACCAAAAACAACAACAACAACTCTCACATTCAACCAATATGGATACAACTAATTAGTTTTTCTTTTCAAATCTGAAAGAATTACAACGGAGCACCTTTTTTAGTCGAAAAAAGACATGCAAATCCCACTAAGCCTTTCTGGCTTCGAGATCATTTTTACCAGCTCAATGGCCTTCGATCATAATTTTCATCACCGATTTTTACCCGCTTTAGAAATGAGTCGATTATATTACTATTCAGCAGCTATTCGCGAATGCAATCTCAGCATTTTCTTGTTAACTTATGTGATACTCATTCATCTAGCTTCCTCGTGTATCCACCATTTTCTAGTTCTTCTAGACTATCTTTTGCGCAACGTTTTGCCTCCTGGCAATTGAAACTATGCTCGCATTTTCGACAAACCACCTCCAACCGTGGAACATCTTTTATACCAAAATTATTGAACTGAAAGCGACAAAACCTGAATTGCACATGGTTGATTGTGAAGATATCAGTACCATAAACACTGTTCTTATTTACAGTCGCCTTTCTTGTGTTTTCCCCCAATCGAAAGTTCTATTTTCTCTTTGCTGGTATCCATCTTTTAAACGCGCTCTAACACTACTCAGTTAAAGGATCAACATTTCATCCATTATCTCTTTTAGTACAAAATATTGTGCTCTAGCATAATCCAATCACTCTTACAGAACGTACAGATTTCAATAGTCATCTTTAGCAAAGATAATTGATTATTTTTTACTAGACCAGTATAATTTGTGGCATGTTTATTCTAAGGTTCCTTGGGACAAGCGATGGATTCTTAAGAGAAACTTTTATTTCACGTCAGAAATACTCTCTGAAGCTTTGAAATCATCCAAACGATGAGCTATACGGGTCGCACCAGAACTCCCGCCATAGTCCTCCAGAAGGTTGTATGCAATGCTACTAAGTCACATATTAAGTATATAATCATAATAAGATTAACTTCATCATTTAAATGATTATATTTACAATAATTCCTAACCACCTATCGATTGCTGAGCGTAGAAATCAAACATATAATTTTGATATTTTCAACACCTGATAAAATTACACACTAATTATCCCTTTGTTTTGTTGTTGTTGTTGCTTTAAACAAGACATATCAGATCGATGTAGTGTGTACTTAGATGAGGGTCTAATTAGATAAATCAACGAACACGGCCTAATATACTACTAAATCTACTGCATTTTACATTCTATTTACGCGCATAAATGTTCACTACACGCATACCCACATACACACACGTACAAGGTAGGATACTATTTTTACCATCACTCACAGTGTTACCATTATTTATATGTATATATTAAAGTACATATGCAACCACAAATGTATGCCTCCTTGTTCTAGTAATTGGCAGTGGAGCCGTCAAATTTCATTTTATCTGACGCACGATTGAATTAATGTTTGATTAAAGTTTCAGACACGTGACGCGTGCAAAGTGCCCGCGCTGCGGCGGAGTAGGACTAACAAACAGTGTTGACACGATGACACGATATCGCGAGCGACGACAACGACAACTACAACGACAACTACAACAATATCAGATATTAAATCAAGTCATCAAAGCAAAAACATTAGCATTGCTTAAAGCAACACACGCAACACTCTGACAAGACTCACACCATTAGAAATAATATAATAACATAGGCCTAGCTGTGGCGAGGCCAACATTTATAAAATACATATATGAGTAACCAGATAACTCTATGAGTGGAAAGGAAATTAGCAAAACACTGGTGGACAAAACAAAGTTTGTGAGTGCGTACTCACTACTGCGACCCAATAGGAAATTGAAAGGAGTGAATAGGAAAGGAGTAAGTGTATCTCCAACGCTGAATGGTAAATAATGAGAAAAAATTAAGTGCTTAGGCTAATGGAAAGCTTTTAAGAGTGTGCATTTCAACTGGATTTTTGCAACTTTGTGAGTTATTTTAGTTTCCTCCACCCTTACGCACTCATTTCTGTAAGACTGAAGCCAAACAAATCATTACTTGCAGTTTTAATCCTCCTTGCTGTTATTTGGATAGTTGTGACGTCTTCGACAAAGTTTATTGATTGCTAAAAGGGAGTATTTTTCGAATCAATCTAAATTATACAGGCGACACTAAGATAAGGTCCTCAAAATCATCAATGAATAACGTGGCCAGCATGATCTGTTGTGCAGAATACATGCTCTTTCTTTGTCTTTTAGCCTCTATAATAGTCGTTTGTAGTTCCTCATTGTACCACTAGTACATTCGTTCCGCCATCTAATTCTATGGGGACTCACTAAGTTTTCAAAGCCCTGAGTAGCCTCCTCAGTAACATGCTCCATGGTGTTTTCCTGTTCATTCGTGGCTCTACATATGCAGTTTGATGGACTCCGGTGGCAAGCACTATCCCCATTGATTCTACGTGTGTTAAGGGAGAGGCTTGTCTGTAAGCGAAGTCGACACCTACATAATCCGTGGCTCTTTCACAGTTTAAGCAGCAGGCTCTCCACTTTTGTATATATATATATATTATATATATACTTTGTGTGTTTGTAACAGCTGAAGCGATTTTCGACCGAGCTCTTTCTCCAATATGTGATTTGCGTTTTTATGCTTTTTTCCCAACAAATGGATGGATCCTCAGTTTATTCCAAGCCGCTTCCGAACAGCTGGTGCTTTTTAAAGAGGAGGTTTTCATTTTATGTTGGTAGAACCAGTTCTAGACCTATCTGGGCTTTCTATGTAATGGCAGTACATAATGCTCACCACTCGGCAATTGCGGCCATTATAAATACCATATGGAATACTAAAGTTTAAGCTTCTTGTCAAAGTTTATGGCTTACCAGTGGGAAAGACTCCGTCAATTCTTCTACTCACACTTTATTTTACTTTAAGCTTCATAGCAAATTTTCGTAGAATTCATGGTTAAATATTTTGATTCTCTAGTGTCAAATAAAATCTGGCAATAAAATAAGTGCAAGCAAAAGTTTTCTTCTTCGTTTTGGCGAAAATCAATATTTATTCTTTCGAAGTTAAATACAAATACAAACACCAAACCACTAAGTCAACTCTTTAACCTTTACTGACATCTTCTTTTCCTTCCTGTCATTATTTGTTTATTCCCGTGAATGCTTTTTACCAAATCCTTTGCGCATACATACATATTTCTTTGGTTTCGTTTCACATTTCTTTTACTTTTATTTATTTTATTTTTTTTTTTTTCTCTCCGAATACAAAGCAAATTCAAATTGAGACATCGTAATAGAGCAACTGAGATCGCTGAAGATTTTCAAATATTGAAAATCCGCAAATAATCCGCAAACATATGATATACGCATGTACATATATCTTTGTATGGGTTACGTGTTCAACATAAGCAAATAGTTAGTAGCTGTGGCCATCAAAAATATATATGTATATGCCAGTATGTACGTAATGCTCAAAACACGGCTATTTCAGTTGGAAAAATATAAAATTGTGACGAAGAGTTTCAAAAAGAATATGAATACAGTATGAATAGTACAACAGATGCACCCACACACACACTTGCATAAATGCATTAATGCCTTGCTTATGCACAGCGTCACCTGATCTCCTGTGGGATTTTGTAATGCGGCACGTGTCTTGTGACAGTCACATTTTGATAAATATTTCTATGTGCATTTGTAAATACTTGCAATATACATATGTATATATATACAAATATAAATATACAAACACATTAGGAAACTAAACTGTTTGCTTGCGGTTCCACAGCAGGAAAGTATTAACACGGCAAAAAAATATTGGTTACTTAGCGGTCAGATTA